GTTCAGCTCTAACGCCGCACCCTAATCCGCGAGTCCTGCCAGCAGTTCCTCCACGTGGCGGCTCAGCTCTGCACTGGTTGGCTACTGGCCGCACCTCCGGGAGCAGCCCCAGCTTCAGGAGGCACCCCAACTCCACTCCCTGTGTGCATTTCCAGGGGCAGTCCCAGCCCGCCCCATGCACTACATCCCGAGGCTCACCCCACCCCCTTCACTCTGCGTGCATCACCTCCATGCTGGGCGCACCAGACCATTCCCCACCCCCAAGCTCAAGCACGGCTGTCTGCCGGTGCAGACAGGCACAACAGATAACTCATTATATTGCTGATCTGATGATGTTAGTGTTTTCAGATATAAAGTTCAGATTGTTTCTGCTGCCATTTTTGTGTTCCAGCCATGACAAATGTTTTCTTTCAGATCCAGATATACGCTTAAAAATGTACAATCTAAATGTTTAACAACTAAAATTAAAAATAATTATACATTCCTTTTGCTGGGAACCACTAGCTCTTTACCAACACAAAGTTATATGATGCATGCAAAACAACAAAACTGGCACTGCGGCAGAAGCCAAACTTAAACCTTTTCCCAGCCTGTCTGCCTGCCCTGGCTCAGCCCTCCACCAAGCCATAATTAACTATATTCAACTGATATTAAATAACACTGCAGCTGATTTCTCTCCTAAATGAAAAGGTAAAAATTAATTAAACAGGCTCATCCTCTAAAACTCAGATGGCATTAGACATTTTAATAAAATAGAGATACTTATATATATAACATAAATAACATGTCAGTTCCTAAAATTCTCTGGACCTGTCCTCCTTATGGGAAGTTATTACTAAAATTATAAATACTGTTGATTATATTTGACTCCTGCATACTTACTTAATTCTACAGATACCTTCTACTGTAGACCAGATCCCACAACAAAAAGGCAAAACTTGACCTTCAAACTTCATAGAGACCTTAATATGGCTTTTCACATTTTCAACAACAAAAATAACACTTGCAACACTTGGAGTTCTGAGACAGGTAAACCGACACAAGGTGGAGCTGGCTGGGCCCCGCCTCCATGGACCATGCCTCAAATGCAGCGGAAGACATTGGGCAAGAGAGTGCCCCCTCCTGGCGTTCCTTTGGGATCTTACCCCAGGGCTACTGGACTGTCCTAGCCATCAGAGAGTGAGTAAATCATCCTAACTTCTAGCCCTAACAGGCAATGCCAACACTGCCAAAGACTGATGGGGCTCAGGGCCAACAACAGCCCCCTTTATGGGTGTCTGTTTCAGGGTCCCAAGTCCCCCTAAAAGTCTCAGGTAAGACATTCTCTATACTTGTGGACATAGAGGCCATATGTACAGAGTTCTTCCTGAGTTTTCAGGCCACTATATTAAATCCTCAGCCTCTAGGGGTATTAAAGGTCAACCTATGCCATTTACAAACAGGGCCTATTTCATGCAGGTCCCAGGCTGCTTCTTCCCAGTCCACCCAGTGGTGCCAAATCTTCCCTCCACCACTCACTCTACAGTCCTAAATCTTAAAAATGTCTTTCATTCCCTTGTGTTTATACTGTCTGACTTAGACACACTGAGGCCTCAACATTTATCGCTAGTAAACCTCTCCCCAGTGATATAAGACCACCCCCTTCCTTTCTTATTCACCAATTTCTCAGGCAACCCTGGTCAAGACTGACAGATACATTTTGTCTTCTCACTTTGTTTATACTTTTTCAGGATACATAAAAGCCTTTCACACAACCAGGGAGACTGCTAAATACTTACTAAAGTTCTGTTACAGCAAATCATTCCAAGGACTACAACCAGGTTACAGCAACCCATACCTGATATTCTTGGCAACCTCAACAGTGATCAAAGTTGCTAGACTGCCATCCTGGTTTCACATCACTCAGGCTAAGTGGTGCCCTCCCAGCCCTAGATCTCACCATCCTTTTGCCTACTCATCTCTGCCTTATGAAGGCCCCAAAGCCATAACTCTCAGGCTGTCATGTTTTGTTATCCAATTTGGTTCCTAATTTCTTACGTTCTATTAATGATCATTTTTACAGCAGGACTCTTGACCGTCTTGCCTAAAGACTCCCACATCATGCGCAAGATCATCTTTATAATGTTCTGTGTGACAACTGTCTTAGTTCTTTCTACCCTCAGCTATTTGGTTAAACAAATAGCTGACATCCCTAAAAGCCTAGGCCCTTACCTTCCCTCTACTGGTACAGCCACCGTCTTCCCTGCTCCCCCTATTTTTTCCAGTTCAACTCCTGGACCAGAGACAAGTTTTACCCATCTACCCTCTTAACTTTTACCCTTTCAGATAGGGGAGTAATCATCTCTCGCAACTTCACTCCTCCTAAACTCACACCTATTTTTCAGAATTCTACCTCACCGTGACAATGATCCTACCTCAACGTAGTCCTGATATAATGACATGTCTAAATCAGAAGAACCTTTCCTTCTACCTCACCTGGGTCCTTAAATATGACAGTGCCATGCCTCCTCATAACATCTTGTCTCTTTGTTTTTCCAGTCTAACATACGTGCATTCACCAGTGAAGTTATCCTGGCTAAAACACCTGGCACCAGCTTCTACCTGGGCATCAACCGTCATCCCATCGACTCCCTAGACCGCAGTACAGCGCCCCCAGCCAGCAGGAAGCAGTAAAGAGAGAAAATTTCCCCTCTTTTCATAATAATAATCGTAAGACCGGATATGAAAGAGTTTTGGCCCAGTCAGGACACTATAGCTGGTAAAGCCTCAGACGGAAGCAAGGAGTTCCATCTCCCCCACCCTTAGGAATTTACCTATGGCGCCAAAAGAATACCAATGGGCTACCTGTGCATCCCTAATGCCCCCTTAGGCACCACCCCCAACCTAAGGTACATGTATGCCCCCACTCCACGTGTTCCGAGGAGAGATCTCCGACCCTGGGGGGAGATGCTGCGCCCCAGGGGATCGGGGGTGTCTCTCCCTGCATTCTCAAAATAAAGGTCATTTATATTTCATACTTCTTATCTTTTCAACCACCGCCGGTCCCCCACAGTTCTATCACTCATGATAGTAGTTTCTCTTTTTTTTTTTCTTTTTTTTGGTACTGGAGATTGAACTCATGATCTCATGCTTGCCAGACAGGCACTTTATGCCGCTGAGCTAAATCCCCAGCCCTCATGATGGTACTTTCATGAATTCATCAAAAGGTAGTAATCAGAAAAGTACACAACAGGTATGCTTGTACAACAGTAGTCATAGTATTTTTATAATAGCAAAAACTTGAAAATCTACTTACTCACAAATAAGAATATTATAATTCCAAACAATGGACTACTACAACCTTTTAACATAGACCATTATTTGTAGACATGGTAAGATAGCTATAACTTTTTAAACATACGAGTTTATAAAAAATTTGTTATATATTTGTGTGATACCTGACTAGAGAGAAAGTCAGGAAAAGAATTGTGAAAATGTTCATGCTACATGACTTTTCTCTTGGTAGTATAGTACTGGGGATTGAAACCAGTGCTTTCCCACTGAGCTACAGCTTTGCCTTTTATCTTACTGATTGATTGATTGATGGACTGGGGTTTTCTTGAGACAGGGCCTTGCTATGTCCTCCAGGCTGGCCTTGAACTCGCTATGAAACCCTGGCTGGTTTCAAACTCACAGCAGTCTTCCAGCTTCAGCCTCCTCAATGCTGGGATAACAAACGTGTGACACCACACTAGGCCCAGTGTTCTACTTTTTGAGATACAGTCAATAAACTGGCCAGGCTAGGCTCTAACTTGTGATCCTTTGGCCATGACAATTTTTAAACAAATATTTATTTAACCAGTCACTGAACCAGTCATATTCATTCATTCAGCAATATTTATTAAGCACATAATACATGGTAGGCATTATGCAAGGTGCTGGGGCAAACAAAATAGACTGTTTACTCAATTTAATTCACTAAAGTAACAGTACTTTTAAAAAATGACAACAATCAGTGTTGGTGAACTTAAAGAGGACAATTTCATACACAATACATAAGGAATTGAAGGACTTATAATAAATCCATTTCATTTGAACCTTTAGTTTCATTTTTAGCTACTTTTAAAAGGAATGGATGTACATAAAAATAAAAAGTAGTACATAAATAAGCTGCTGGAGTACATACATATGAAACAATAGGGATCTGGGTAAATAATGTTCATAACGCAGAGTATTATGGGAGTAGCGGAAAATGTTTAACACGCATAAATGTTCTAAATACATGAAAAGACTTTAAAAGGTACTAACTTGCAGTGAATTTAGGCAAATCAGTTAAGTAATGTGAGCCTGTTACTTTCCCTCCAAAGTGTAAATTCTTAAAAACTCTTAACTTCCTGAATCAAGGTTCTCATCCATTCATTTCTACAAGAAAATTAGCAACCGGTAGATGTTAAATTGGTAGCCATATGCAGAGCTGTCTTAAGTTGTTTCATTTAAGGACCCATCAAAAGATGGTCTCACAAAGAAAAAAAAATACACAATTCATTAGAAAATGCCCGTTTTTCTCCCTCAGGTATTGGGCTCGGGTCTGAGAGCATAGAAAGTCAGCCTGGCGAGATGGCTCACACTTGTAATCCCAGCACTCGGGAAGCTGAGGCAAGGGGATCGTTGCGAGTTGGAGACCAGCCTAGGCTACAAGGTGAGCTCAAGGCCAGCCTGAACTGCATCGAGAGACCCCATCTCAAAACGACCAAAAAAAAAAAAAAAAAAGTCATTAGTACCCTCCTTAAGTTCAAAATCTGGTGGGAGAAACCAATAATTATCATAAAACTGGAGGATAAATGGCAACAGAATCTTGAAAAAAATGTCCAGGCAGTGACCAAGAGGATTCCAAAACTGAAAGGAAAGCATTTACGCAAACAAGATACTCAAGGAAGAGTACAGTGGACACACACAAACGGAAGGTTGTTTTGTGGGCTCTTCTGTAATATACTACTTCTCACTCACACAATTCCCCAAACCTGTGCACAGTGCATGAGAGGTTGAGAAGCACATTCAGGGCACTCGGTCCCAGCGAGGGTGTCAAGGCCATTTATCCGCAGGGATGAGAAACTGGCGCGAGTCTGCAATACTCATGGAATCTCGCTGAGGAAACAAGACTTGGGTAATAAACTAGGTTACGCAGTTTTGCATAGCTGCCACTGCAAAACCCGGGTGTTCCCGCCGAGCTCAGTATTTGGATCTTCCAAAGCCCCGCCCACGCCCGCAAAGCGCGCTGGGAGTTTTGACCGCAGGCCAGCCCTGAAAGCTTATCGATATCTCTGGAATGGACTGCCCTGCCCTGCGCTGCCGCCGTCAAAATCCCACAGACTTCTCTGTCGATCGCCGAGCGGAAGTTTCGGCAGCTCCTCTCGATTCGCTGCTTTGCCAGAAGCTCGTAGTCGGTCCGCGGCCGAACTATGGTAGGTTGAATCCTGATCCTTACAAGGTTTAGGGCCGAGGTCCTGGGACTACGTGATGTGATCAGCCTCTCTTGTTAACCTTGGGGTGGTCAGGGCCACGAGGCATAGGTTACCTCTGTTTAACGACAGGCTCGGCCGTGATTCAGCATCTCCGGCCTGACCGGAGGAGTGGCGGTGGGTAGTCGGAGCGGCCTCTTCGCACGGTTTATTTCACTTTCCGCGGCTCCTCTAGCACGCGTTCCTTGGTCATTTGATCGAGTTTGGAGTACATCCCAAGCGTTTTTGAAGGGCCTCTCGTGCTATCTTTGGGACAGAAGAAAGCTTAGACTAACTCGGAGGCCTTCTAGCATCGTAGGTGCAGATTTGACAACGATTTGTGTTCTTGGATCATACCCATTTTCCTAGTGTGCCTTTTTCACTTATCAATCTACTAAAGCACCATTGAAACAGACTCTTTTCAGTCACTTTGCCCAGTCACTTGGGACTCTTGGTTTCGAGTTTGACACTCCAGGGCTCGACCATCTCATCCCATGGTAATTCTCCCAAGTACTGATTGATTTGCTATAATAATGTCATTGTAGCACTAATAGCTTTATCGCTGTAGCTATTTGTATTCACTTTTAAACTGCTGAGGAATTTTTTTGTTTATTCACTAAATATATTTTTTGGTTCCAAGCACTTTCACATGGCACAAGTACAGTTTGAGTTGAAAGGTGAATCAGACATGTCAATCACAGTATAGGAATAGAAAGACATGCAAAGAACTATGGAAGTCTATATTGGAATTTTGGGAAAAAAGAGAAGACTTCAAGAGGTCTGAACTATTTAAAGAAAAGGAAGGGCTTTTAACCACTTACTCAGTCTTTGTGTAAGGGAACAGCATATGCAGAAATAAGAAAAATTAATGCATATGAACATTAGCAATTGTCTACTTAAAAGAAATGTAATGGAGAGTGGCAGGACAAGAAGTTGGAAAGATTGGACCCATCTAATCAGCTTCTGCCTCACCATTAGCTCTCAGTAAATGTAGACTTGGCTCACAATGTTGAGTGTAGTAACACTGTTCCAGTGAGATTGCATCAACAGAATTGCTTTGAATGAAAACACATGCAATTTCTTAACATTAAGAGCTTGAATTTGTAATGTTCTTATTACTAAGACTTCTTTTCTGTTACTTTCAGTTTCGCAACCAATATGACAATGATGTCACTGTGTGGAGCCCTCAGGTAAAAATTAATGTTTCTATGAAGTGTTTTTAATAGTTATGACAAGTATAGAAACTTGTGGGATTATAGACTGTGAAAAAAATTAATTTTAAACCCAGTTGGAACTTAAATTTTATAATTAAAATAATTTACCTGGTTTTAAAAATATCATTTGAAATTTACTTACCCAAGATTTGGGAAATCTAATTTTTAATTTATAAAAGGCTCTTCTAGGTCACTCGAAGATGTGTTATTTTTTTCTCTTCAGGGCAGAATTCATCAAATTGAATATGCAATGGAAGCTGTTAAACAAGGTTCTGCTACAGTTGGTCTGAAATCAAAAACCCATGCAGTACTAGTTGCATTGAAGGTAAGAAAAGCAATAAATATATCTTTCTCCTTTAGAAAACATAACTACCAAGTATAAACAATAAAATTGGAAGCTTATTCTTACGTCTTACATTGTCTTTATTTAGAGGGCGCAGTCAGAACTTGCAGCTCACCAGAAAAAAATTCTCCATGTTGACAACCATATTGGTATTTCTATTGCGGGACTTACTGCTGATGCTAGACTCTTATGGTAAGTATGCTCACAAAACATGTTTCATATTTGATTGCTCTTCTATAAGAGATCTAGATATTTTCGGAAGTTGTTTGCCAGAATATTTTGGGACTACCTTAGTGGGTTAGTATTTTCATTTCTTGGTTCTTTTGATAGTAACTAACAAAATTAAACACATTAATATTAACACTTATAGTATGATATGTACAAAACAGAGTATTTTCTTTGAAAACATCTAAGATGTTGATACTTTTGTCTAACATTTAAGGATAAGCCAAACCATTCTAAATACTCCAGTATGTATTAAAGAGTTTTTTTTTTTTTTGGCAAAGCAAAGTAGGGGACAAGTTGATTCAGACATAGATCTTGTCTTTAAGGAATTTTAAATCTATTTTATCTATAACGCAAGATAGAAAGTGGAAAGTAACAAATTTCTATGAACAGCCAGAGGAAATAAGCAGTGTCGCCTAAAATGTGGTTGCCCTAATACCACACACCAGCTGGGCAGTGCGAGTACAAGACCATCCTGTGCTACAAAATGAGCTCAAGGCTAGCCTGAACTGCATAGTAAGACCTTGTCTCGAAAAGACTAACTAAAAAAAGTAAAATAAAATAAGGACATGTCAACATATAATTAGTATAAAAACATTTATTAATGAGATGTAGTATATGGTTTTACTACTAACTCTTTGAAGTTTGCTATGTATTTTGTGCTTATAATGTATTTCAGTTTAGATACTTTTTAATGGCTCAATAGCCACATGTGATTTGTGCCTGTTATATTGCAGTTTTAGATACTCTGTTGAACATGACTTAAAAGTACTGAAAGGATAGTTTGGTTCCCATAGTCAGCATTTGATCATCAGGTACTGACCCTATAGTAGATGTGTAGTAGGTGCCTAGCATACATGAAGCCCTGTATTCAGCCCCAGTACCACACACACACACACACACATACACACACACAGAAAGGTCAGCTCATCAGCTGTGATATATACATAGTAGACAAAGTAACATGAGAAGAAAAGGGAATATCTTTTTCTTGTAGTTTACTCTTTAATAGGTATGAATTCCCTTTTGCCTGCTGTTAACATTGCTCAGATCTTTTCAGGTTTAATAGTGAAACTCAACAAACTATTTTCTGGTGTCTTCTGTAGAAGGCTGCTTTTGAAGAGAAGTAACATTGTCAGGAGCGTGATAAGATGTCCTCTGCTTTGGATTCTATTTTTTGCAGTTGGTATATTGGGAAAGTTTTAATTGGGAAAGTTTTATACTGTTCTCAGTATAAAAAAAAAGCAAAGTAGGTGCTCTTCCTGGCTCAAGACCTAAAAATTAAGACAGACTGTTGCTGCTGGCAGTGGAAGTGATAAGAAGACAAAGATTGTTCTTTTTTCTGGCTCATTTTTCTCTTCTGTGTAAGTGCTGTGAGAAAGAGATTTAGAGCTAAGAGATAGTTTTATTTTTATCTTGAGATAAAGTCTCGATACGCTATCCAGTCTGGCTTTGAACTTGTGATTCTCTTGCCTCAGCCTCGGAGTTGCTGGAATTATAGGCATACACCCCAGTGCCTGTCAGTTCATTCATTTTTAAAACCTCATTTGGGATGCTGGACATGGTGGCACCCTCCTGAACTCCAGTACTGGGAAGCTGAGGCAGGTTTACTATGAATTAAAGGTCAGTTTGGGTTACAACTGAAATACATAGACCCTCTCTCAAAAGACAACAACAGATATCCTCCTATGGTGCTGAGGATGATGATGCACACCTGTAGTCCCTGTACTCTGGGGGCCTGAGGCAAAAGAAAAATCACAAATTTGAACCCAGCCTGGGAAATTCAGCAACTTGGTGAGATTCTGCCTTAAAATTTTAAAAAGGAAATGAGGATGTATTTCAGTGCAAAGGCCCTAGGTTCAATCCTCAGTACAACCAAAATAACCAAACAAACAGAAAGTATACTTCATGTGGCCCCAGAGTTTAATATACCAAAAATGTATTCTTACGAACTTATCTTTGTTGCCTGTCTGATTTCCTTCCTTAGGTGGATATAATCCATGAAAACGTTTAGAAGGAAGGAAAGTGAAATCAGACTGCTTTGTTTAGGTAGAATTAGCCCTATGTAATTTTAAGTTACTGATTTTTCTTATTCTTTTTTAGTAATTTTATGCGACAGGAGTGTTTGGATTCCAGATTTGTATTTGACAGACCACTTCCTGTGTCTCGTCTTGTATCTCTAATTGGAAGCAGTATCCTTTTTATAACAGCATTTATGAATGTGGACTCAAGGGTTTTGGTATTTAATTTTGTATTAGTTGTTTAAAATATGATAATACAAATTATAACCACAACTGTAAAAAGTTTAGGGAATTGTGTTGTTGTTTCATTAGCTCTCAATTTTCGCAAAACTATCCAAGCATTATTATTAGAGGGTATTTAAAATTTCTTTGGTTCTTGAATTCCCAAAGTTTTCGACTTCTTCTCTCCAAAACAAAACAGGTGCTAATGGAGGAGATGATTTTGTTTATTGGTGTTCATCTTTGGAATTGGTACAGTGTTGAACAGGTTGTAATGTTAGGCTACAGAAGTGTCCCTTTTTTTTATTCCTGTGGATTATGCAACAATTAAGAAAGAGGCTAGTGTGTTTATTAATAATGCTTAATTTGAAAGTAATGATAACACTTTATTCCTTGTTAGAGAAAATTCTTTAACTAATTTAGAGACCCAGATACCGACACAGCGGTATGGCCGGAGACCATATGGTGTTGGGCTGCTTATTGCTGGTTATGATGTAAGTTCACACAGTCCTATTATATTTTAGTGACTTTTTAAAAAAAGCCAACAAAATATTTTTGTGATTTTTATTTTCTTTTAGCTCAACTAAAGATAAGAATTATGTTGTGTACTTATTTCCATTTTTAGGATATGGGCCCTCACATTTTCCAGACCTGTCCATCTGCTAACTATTTTGACTGCAGAGCTATGTCTATTGGAGCCCGTTCTCAGTCAGCTCGTACTTACTTG